CTACAAGAAGCCTGTGCGCTGTACGGTGCTGCCATCTCGTTCATGCATAAACAAAGAGTACCCGCGTATTTTAAGCTCAAACGCATGTTTCTTTCTGCACCCGGTCCCCAGAAAAAAATTAGGAGACCTTAGAACTTGAACGCACCTCGTATATGCATGAGTTGACGCTAGCGTGTCACGGGATATAAGCCCGTAAATATACCTTTTCAATTTTAGACGCTTAGACGTAAACCCGTACAATTACAGGCTCTCTTGTAACTCCAAAGGAGACTTCTACCAGTTATTGACTATCGTTTTGTCCTACTCTGGGGCAGTGTGGTGTCCACTTCGGCATCTAGGCATTGTGTTGACTTCTTGCATACTCCCAGGTCTCACATCTAAATAATCATAGCGTCGTTAATTGGGAGGCGAGTGCTGAGGGATGGTGAAATTAGTGAAATTCTATTGCCAGATGAACATGGTTTGGATGAAAATGCTAGCAGTGGTGATGTAAGTAATGTGGGAAATGAGGTTGAGTCCTAACATCAACCAAGAGTAAATGATGATAAGCCTTGTATTGGTGCGGCAGAATCTACAGTTACCTCAGCGAAGAGAACAGGCAGAGTATGACCATCAGAGTTTGAGTGGGAAAATTCTAGTACTGTACTTCTTGGGTTTCACAACTGAGATTGTGGAATTCCAACTTAGAGTGATATTTTAGAATATCTGATGATGTTTCATATTTTCAAAGAAATTTTGGACGAAAACATTGCCAGAGGGATTGCTGTTGAAACAAATAGGTACTATTCACAAACTATAAGAGAAAGTAAGGGTAGCGAGCACTCAAAGCTCCACAACTGGACAGATACAACGTTTTCTAAAATTAACACGTTTCTCATAGTGATAGAACACCTGAGATGTGTAAAAGAATACAAGAACCCTAAAATACAATTTAGGTGGGATCAAGCTGTAGAAGTAAAAAATGTTTGTTTTTTTTACTCCTCAGTGCCGCACACTTCAGTAAAATCTCACTCCTAGGGAGAAAGCGAGGGTTTAAAACCACCACTCAAATGGTTAAATGTGGCCGTTAAACGACTCAAGATTTCCCACGATCTGGTGGACCAAGCACCTTTTTTATGGAAAAAATAACTTTGCAGTTGTCGCTTAATTTAGCATGTACAAGAGACGAGTCACGCACCAGGAGCTTCTTCTCGCAGTTGGAATCTCATCTGGTTTCACGAGTGCCTTTTTGATTAATAATCTGCTGCTGGGAAAGGTTTGTGCACGTTGGGTGCCACGACTGTTGAAAGAGGAATCGAAAGTGCAATGGGTACAGATGAGTGCGGAATTGCTCCTCCTCCACAACAATAATTCAGATACTTTCTTCTTCCAGAGGCCTTGTTACTGGCGATGAAACGTAGTTTCACTTCCAAGAACATGAGATGAAACAATAATGGAAGCAGTGGATGCATGTTGACAGTCCACCCAAAATAGGCAAAAACATCGCCATCAGAAAGTAAACGAATGGCGACAGCCTCTTGGGACATCTGGCACCAAGCGATTACTGGCTCTTCGGTGCCATGAAGAAACCCCTCAGTGGACAAAGGTAATCAAATATGCAGGCACTTGGCTTGGCGGAGTACCTATGGTTTTGGTCCACTCCAGAAACATGGTTCAAAGTGGGATGAAACAAATTTCCATAACTGGGCGCAAGTGTTTCTCAAATCAAATCAAATCAAACTTTATTGCCCGTTTGCTGGTTATGCTTTCGGCTGCAAGGTGGGATTCAGAGAAAAGTACATCTCATACTACTAATAGTAGACAATAGCAAAGAAATTTCATACTTAAAACACATTTTCAGAAGTATTGATTGACATTTACCCGAACAAGGATTCGGCAAGGCATGCAAACTACAAAATTGAGTCTATAGACTTCGTAATTCCATATTTCAATATTCCATGGGGCATAAGATGCAAAGAGGGTACATAAAATATAAAAAATATAATAAAAGTGGGGTATTCAGAAAGAGGGATCGAGAATTCCGACCATCGCCAGTTATATCGCCTCGATGTTAACGCAAGTAGTGTGCCTCTTCCATAGTGCGGCTTTCAGGTATAAATTGATTTCCTCTAGACACCAATACTTTTTCACCGAAATTTGTGCTATCAGTCAATCCAAGCGGAAATGTCAAGAACAGGCGGCGGGCCGGATGAACCACCTCCGCGGGCCGTATGTTTGACACCCCTGCTCTATGAGGACCTCTACGACCTCGATATCTACCACCTAAAAGTGCACTATCCAAAACCACAAGTCAACATCTATCATGGCGAGATCTATCACACTTATTCCACTGCTACCCATATATGTGAAATGGGCAGAATCGCAGCCAAACCTGCTATTAACTATTAGACCTCTTGATATTCCCAGGAAAGCTTGTAGTTTCCTCACTTCTGAAGATATTACTTCATCAGCTGATTCCCTGCAACCATATTCTGTGGCATCCTTTTCATGCACCCACCATTCCTCTGTTAGAGTTCCCACACGAACGTTATGATCTCCCATTAACATCCATTTTGCGTTTCTGTGCTCCCCTAGAAGAGAGAGTAGATCCTCTCCCAGTTTTCCGAAAGAAACCGCGGTCTTCCATGGGGGATTCCCGATGCGATAGCAGATGACTATTATCATCGAATCTTTCCTGCCTTGCAAAAGAATCCATACCACAGTATCTAAACCGGAAGGTGACTCCAGTATCTTAAGTTTGCGAAACCTTTCCTCACCCCGACCAGGATTCCTCCCATGGCTCGTCCGGATTTCTTCATGCGTTTCGCCGGTGCACTGAAAAGCCTATAGTTACCCAAGGTTAATTCCTAATGGTCCAGGACCCATGTTTCTACCAGGCCAAATACGTTCATCCTGTTCAAGTACGCGCGAACATCAGGCAGAGACCATTTTTCTTCTAAACCTTGTACATTCCAAAAGAGATACTTATGACATCTTAACCTAGTTTGATGTAGCAAGCCTCCCAGGTCCCTCTCCATTTTCGGTCACCTTGCCCCTCCTTTCCCTCTCTGGCTCATCGGCAAAAAACAGTACTGAGGTAAATCTTTCTTCTTGGTGGTCCGATGCAGTTTTTCAGGGGCCTTTGCTCGAGATCTGGTGTCACTACCTTCCCGTCTTCCACTTCCTGGTGAGGGGTTGCTTACTTCCATCAAGCTCTCTTCTTCTTCGGACTCTACTCCGTCTTCCAGGTTTTCCTTTCTAGAGGTTTTTGAGGTTCAGTCAGTTGGAAGCGGGAGCACCAGGTTGTGGGATCCTCTTGGTCTTGCCCCTGCTCTGGGTCTGGAATCTCCTCAACGATTTCCTTCTCCTCCCCTTTCTCCAGCCTTTGCCAAGCTTGACCCGATTGTTCTCCAATGTCCCAGGGGTGCCCACCATCTACCGTGATAGGTCGCTGCGATTCTTCGTCCCATTTATACTTAGTTGATTCTACCATCAGAAGGTCTCGATGCATGGACACTGTCTTGCACAATTCTTTTGCTTCCTTAAAAAAGGGCGACAAGAGTCACCTTGCCCGCCTAATATCCGGGTGTAAGTTTGGTGACAACCGGGTACCCTTGGGGATGTGGGGCTTCACTGCTTGTATAAAGTCTAGTTTCAATTGTGTGGATGCAAAGGAGATCATCACTGGAGGCGGGTTAGGTAGCAGCTCGTAATATTTGAACTGCTGTCACCCCTAGATCTAGAAGGCCAAACCATCCTCCTCTTTTTCCACCCGGATGCGTTCCCATTGGCTCCCCCTTCTTTTAGTGATGCCAGGGAAGCCACCTTCTGCTGTAGCTGATCACGTGTCTCTCCTGTTGTCTCCCTTAGTCCTCGGATGATTAGATTCTTGGCTCGTTCTCTTTCCTGAACAAGTAGCAGTCTTCTCTGCAGTGAGCGTTCTTGTGAGGCTTCTCCCTTGAGCGTCTTGACTTCTTCTAATATCTCAACTCTTTCCTGTAGAGCTGGAATCACACTTTGGATTTCACATACTGTACAGTCTCTTCAATGGTCTGCAACCTACCAAGTTCCTTGAGCTGTTTAGCAATATCATCTAACCACTGTTGAGGAACATTTGGTCCTGGGTTGGGTTCAATGTCCCCTGACTGCATGAGAGATGACAGGGTTATCCTCAGAATATCCTCCTGTATCTCAATGTAGTTCGACCTTGGTGTGCAGAGCGTGAGGTGCCTTGGTTCCCATTCTTCCTCACCGAGGGACCTCCCTCTTGGGAACGAAGTCAAGCATACAGAGAGAAGAGAGGCAATTATAGGCCCTACACAATAATCGAGAGCCATACCGGTCTTAGCAGCCCGTGTTCTTCCAGGAATATGGTCTGCTCGCCTTAAGTACGTTGTTCTTTAGGATGTCCTTTCTTCCTTGCTGAAGTGAAACGATAGTCCTTAGGCAGAGGCCTGGGCATATCTGTCCCGATCCCACGAGATCTTGTCGGACTCTGCTGAAACTGGCCTATGACCACTCTCCATTGGATCATGGATATGCCCATTGTCCTAGTACAACACTCCTCGATGGTTCACGCAAGTTAAGATGTTGAAGACAGCAGAAATAAACTTTTTTATGAGGCGCGGAGGAACTTAGTTGCTTCTCAACGAACTGCTTATTTTTCCTGCGCTCAGCATCTACCATTCTGCATTTCAAGAGTTTGAACTAGACCTCATACTTGTTCCCTTTATGGCGTCCAACGAGCGGTCGCACAAACCGGCTTCATGACCACTCACCCTACACTCCCAAAGAGCCACCAGCTCGAGACTAGTAGTTTGCTGACGGCGCATCCTCTAGAACCCTCTCCGACCCAGTCGAGTGGATGTCGACCCCGATCTCAAGCAGCAGACTGGTAGGCCGAAGAAGCAGCGTCTTCACGGCTCTCTCGCCGGAGGTGGGCCGCCTTCTGCAGAGGATCGGGGAGGCGGTGAAGTCGCCATGCCGTCCGACGGTTTAACGAATAGTTTCTGCATATTTAAATGTAAAAATATATATATGTGAACAAGAAACGGACTCGATGCCCTTTTTCCCGTGCAAAATACCAACGGAGAACTAGAATTGCCACTCACCCGTTTTTACTGTGCTTAAAATGATGGAATTATCCGATATAACCTTGAGACGCTGGCCCCGACATCCGCCAGGCACGAAAAGGAAATAGAACTACAGACGGGCCAGACTCATTCTGCAGGAGCGAATTTNCATTAACATCCATTTTGCATTTCTGTACTCCCCTAGAAAAGACAGTAAATCATCTCCCAATTTTCTGAAGAAACCGTGGTCTTCCATGGGGGATCCCTGGGGAGGGCGGTAGCAGATGGCTATTATCACCGAATCTTTCCTGCCTTGCAAAAGAATCCATACCACAGTATCTAAACCGGAAGGTGACTCCAATTTCTTAATATAGTTTGCCAAACCTTTCCTCACCCCGACCAGGATACCTCCCATGGCTCGTCCTGATTTATTTATGCGTTTCGCCGGTGCACTGAAAAGCCTAACGTTGCCCAAGGTTAATTCTTTATGATCAGGGACCCATGTTTCTACCAGGCCAAATACTTCCATCCTATTCAAGTGCGCGCGAACATCAGGCAGAGACCATTTTTCTTTTAAACCTTGTACATTCCAAAAGAAATACTTATGACATATTAACCTAGATTGATGTAGCAAGTCTCCCAGGTCATCTACTCCCTTTGTTTCCCTTATGTTTGAAGAAGAAGGCCAAACCTTTGTCTCCCTATGTTTTCCTTATTTAAGCACCCCCTCCATCCGTTATAGTAGACACTCATTCACCCTTAAAAATAAATTATTTTAGAACATTTTCCTTTTAGAAAAAAATGGCATTTGGCTTCAAACAGGCACACCTTGGTGAACTTACTTTTGGGATACCCTGTTATGTGAAAGGTTGTGAAACATTCTCTACAACATGAAGTTGCTGCTTTCGTAACCACAACTATAATACCTGTAACTATATGATTCATGCAAGAATTCAACAAGGGTCTCATTAAAGGTTAGTTTTCTTGAGTTGAACTTGAGTTCTTCATAACCTTTTAAAGCGATTGTCTGTTACATTTACTTCTGTATTGACTTATGCTGATTCAAAGCCGATAAATCGATCGATTCATTCATCCAAAATCAATCAATTAATCTATCCATCCATCAACATCAGAAAGTTATTTTTCATAATAGGTTTTTCCCCTCTCACCTTTGAAGTCATTTTGGTAATCTTCAGTGAGTAGGCCTCCAGCGATGTTGACCACCAACACATCTATACTCCTGTCTTCTTTTGCAAGACGCTTGGCCCTCTCTTTTACAACAAGAGTCTTCCCCGTGCCAGAGCCTCCAGCAATAAGGAGGAGCCACGATGATCGCTCATCCTCATCCACAAGTGACTTCTGCTCAGGAGTCAAAATGCATAATGTTTTCTCCATTTGGGCGTCGCAGGTTTGGAAATGCTCAACATAAGTTCGTGGAATGTTGACGGCAGAAGATGCACAAATGTAAAGGGAAAAAATGGCACGGAACAACTTTTCAGCTGCAATTGAGATCTCATGGCTTAAACTAGGAAGATGAACTACACCATTTCTGCGTAGAAATGCAGCGAGGTCATTTGGATATTGAAGATCATCTTTTGTTATCACCCTCCAAGGACACGATCTACAGTTATTCAGGAATCGACGCAAATCCGCTCGTTCAATGAATGGAAAGGCTGGGAATGCAACAACTACGGCCGAAGAATCAATGAAGGCTCCACACATCGTACTAAACACAGATCTGTCTTCATCACACTGATGGATCGTCTGCGTTATGGTCCTCTTCACTCTTCTCTCAGGGACGTTCAAAGAAAGCTCATTGATATGGAAGAATATATTGTAAACTTTACTTCCGCTCGGATAGGACAAGAACGTGTCATGGGAACCTTGCTTAAGATCAGGGATGTCAAGTTCTTTTTCTAGTTTCTCCCGTCTTTCCGAGGACATTCGTCTCAAACCTCGATAGAATGCATTATTGCGATTGAACGTCTCTGAGAATATGTAATCAGCAACCGTCAACGATGGAGCAGAGCCGCATATGTCTTTTGCTCGATTGAAAACAGTTGCAACTGCTGTATAATCAAGAGGAAAGTTCAGATCCTTTCCCTTTGGATTCTCCAGCTCTTCTTTCGCCTGGTAAAGCAATTGTTCGAAACTTCTCTCCTTCAGAAGAAAACCCGATGGGAGAGAGTAGTGGATTTTCCCAGCCTCAGGATAGTGTTCCTGGATATATTGATCGGCTGCCTCCATGAATGGAACTTCCATGCCATGTCCCAAGTATACCTGGGAAAAATACAGTTTTATGTAATGCTGTAAAATAAAGGGTTTTTCTTCTGAGAACACTTTGCTACCATTTAGCCGGGATGGAACCCAATAATAAATGTAATGTAAGAGTTCATGAATGTTTTATTCAAGAAAACTATGAATAATTCTCTTACGTTCAGTAGATCCCTCCACAGAATAGTTTACAGTTCCCCACTTTTACGGCATTTTGATAATGCCAAAATTAAAAAAATGATAATATTGAAGCACGAAGTAAATGCTGCAAACATACGTAAAGCACTGTCTCAAAACTACGATGGGACTGGTAACGCGACAAACTATGACATATGATCATTGCCAGCAGTTACCATTGCAGCAACTTCTCCTGCCGACAATGCCTCATACTCACATTGTTGATTGTAAGCAGACAGTCCCGAAGTTTTCAGTACTATGATTCAGAACAATGCTTCTTATCGCTGAAATTAGGCCCCACGACGTGAAAATTGTAGAACTTTTCGAACTCTTAACCCAAGAGTTAACGCCATCCTGTTTTCAATGACACCTATAGTTTTAAACTGAGGCACACAGAACAAATGTGGAACTCCCAGTAATCAGATGGAGGGCGGGACGATGATACCCATCGTCAAAGACTCCCCATTTCCATTGTTTTAAAACGATAACCAGGGAGTTCCATCGCATAGCGTTCTAAAGTGATACAAATTTCGAATTTTAACAGACATTATTTCAATAAATAATAAGTGGATGCGTTTCGTCTTTCGGGAAACCCCAATCGCCTGAATGCAAATGTTCAGAGAGTTGATCTACCCGATGAAACAGATTTGACCCGCTCATTGGGCGTGGAGCGAGGTTGACAATTTAGTTTCCAGTCGGGTGCGAGAGAATTTGAGATCTCGAGTTCTGAAGCACAGAGGACAAAACAGGCTTCGGACCTGTTTTCGGCAATCAAGTTTCAGGTCGAGTGCGGGCAGTGACGTGTGAGCACGGAGCCGGGAACCGTTCGATATTATGCTATTCTTATTGACCAAAATGTGGCCTTAATAAAGTAAAACTTTTTTTTTCTTTTGATCCAATAATTATCGCCTCCGGTCATAAACTTTCGATTGATATCTCACTCAAGAAAATTATTTTATCCGTCTAAAGGGAGTTTCCCGGACTGACACCCTGACCCCGACGGATGTACCATGTACTATTATGTACTATGTAAATGCCTATGGATGAGAGACGGTCAGGCATCGATTTCACACAACCCATCCCTAAGAAAGAAGCTTTTCTGGCGTAAAGGGAAACTTTCATGAGTTTCAGATCTCCCAAAATAATTTGTCTTGCACGGTTTCCCAGGCCAAATGCACGCTTCGCCACCCCGTCTTCTTGCACAGAATGCCCTTCATTCTGACCTGTTCCACCCGAAAATGCGTAAATGCGCAGATTTGCGTAGGTCCCTTCGTCTCCCCTTGGGCAAATACGTCATCAGAGAACTGGAATTCTCAAGCTTAGAGCCCTATGGGGGCTGCGGGCCGGCCATGTCAGCACAACACGATCGGAGCAGCTAAGCTCGGTCGACGATCGCGTTCCGGTTCGGGTGCGGGCCACGATTCCTATCGGGCCGATCGAGTTTTAACTTGGAAAATTCGACCCGTGCAGGCCTCTGACGCGCAGAAAGACAGGAGAACCCGTTGAAACGACGTTCGCAGCTAACTTTTTGGACTTATGACCCAATAATTATCGCCTCCAGGTCAAGAACTTTCGATAGACGCCTCAATTATTTATATCCGTTCATCCGTCTAGGAGGAGTTTCCCGGAATGACGGACATGTTAGCCTCTTATGTATATGAATGGATGGATGGATTGTCTGCAATCTTTAACGTCGTATTTTACATATTTCACCGATCACTATCATATAGCAAATTGACAGTAAACTGGCAGCCGTCCAGCCATGCTCAGCCCATTCTTTATACAGTAGCTCATTACCGCCCAAGTGAAATTTCAGATTATTCTACAATGACAGTTTCGACCGGGCAGTATCATTGATGATGATCCTTTTCGTTCAGATTAAAATGCCTCCTTTCCCTCCTCTCTATTCTCTCCTTCATAATTCAAGCGCCAACATGTGGCACATTGTAGTCTGAATCACAGGTTTATCGTTTTGGAAAACAATGACTTATTCCACAAGAACGCAGTTACCTTCAGTTTTGGCTATTCCCCGAGAAATGTGTCCCCAAAACACCTCCGAAGTCGGACTTTCTCCGGAGTCGGCAACCTAGCAACTATTCACGTTCCTTCTAGTTTCGTTGAAGGAAGTCTGGTAAGAGAATCGCATAGGCCTAAGCGTCCGGCCCTGGGTTAGGCCCATACGTTATAGGACATATTTCAAAAGTACCATTCTTTCTTTACTCAGCTATCGACCAGGTACTTCTACGCCAACTTTCAACTTTCTATCGCTCTTCGTTTCGTGGGATCAAAAAAGATTCCGGAAAATGCGCCTCCTGCAAAAAAAAAACATTACATGAAGTGTTTTTATGAAAGGAACAACGTCGTCGAACTGACGTCATCTCGACTGGATGATTGTTGTAAAAACGAACGGTCAAAAGTAGACTTGATTTAATTCCAGCAAAAAACCTCCGTTTGGCTAGCTAGCAAATATCTGAAATAAGGAAATATATGACAATGAGTTACAAATTTACGTTTTTCACAAATTTCAGGCTCTAAAATTTCAAGGTAACAATACAGGAAGAGAGCAAAATAAACTTTTGGAATGACCCACGTAGAGCTGTCTTTTTAGGTCTGATCTGTGAGCACTTCTCAAGGGATTGCATTGAAAATCGGCATTCTCAGAGATTACATATTGTTCGAAATGCCTGAACAGTAAGAAGTGCACTACTTATAGAGTTACAAATTTACAAACGATTCTCATTACTTTCTAGACACTCAGAGTACATATAACAATGAAAATGGTAGAATGGATAGTTACTGGCTCAAGGAAGTCAGCAGTGTATTTTTATTCACAGAAAAAATGCAAATCTCCCTCACAAAATAAAATCGTTAATGCATCATTCCCTCCATAATGGTTTATGATCCCTGAAATGTTTTCACCATGCTATTTAGACAAACTTTGAAGTTTAAGTCTTCCCTTAGAGAACTGAGTCAGCCTGAATGATGAGAATATATATATGCAGTTACTCTATGCTCTCAGCTACTTCATTTGTATTCCTTCATTTTGAGAAAAGCATATTCCTTCTGACCGTGAGGTGGTTGCGAACATCAAATCTATCTTCTTGGCGGCATTCGCTTAGTGACGTGACTTCATTGAGGTCACTCATGCAGAACGGACAAGTGGGTATGTTCTGTTTGGAGAGATATAAGGATTATTCATATGAGGAAATTCATTTTACCTGTGCTTAGGCTTCTTCAAAATGATATCAGATTATACCATATTTAATTTATGTCACTCAATACAGTTGCTTAAGAGCGCAAAATAAATTAAACTGTTCCACTATCCATAATTTCTCTCCGCGACTGTTCGAGAAAGTTTTTATGGGATATTTTGCCTTTTTTCCGCATGAATTTTACAAATGAAAATCCAATCCCTAATCATGAAATACCCATTTTCGCTCACCAATCTCCTAAATTTGCTTAGACAGCTTAATTTAGAATTTACAATTTTTCATTCGTCTCAAACAACATTATCTATAGATGCACAGAACGGATAGAGCAAAACATAATAAAACAATATCATTTACATACACCGTGAGCTATTTGTCCGGCGCAATTCCAGCGAAGATCTTTCATTTCATATTTTGGTTGGGATCTGCAGAATATACGTGAAATAAAACGAAAAAAAAAACATTATAATATGTGGGTTGTCTCATGTCAATAATATTTACAGATCATCATCCTTCTTATGAGAACTATATAAAGAAAAATTCCAATCATTCACAAAATGTTGACATAGTGCCCCAGAATAACCCGAATTGACTCGTTGACTACACTTGAATGCAATCATTTATTGTAAACCTCTGGCAAGTGAGATATTTGAATCAGTTTTAGCACGTTATACCAAATTTTGTGATGGAAATAACTTATGCAAGACGTAATTGTATGATGCAGTGTATGGATTCCTGACAGTCTTGACAGAAACTGAGCAACACACTATCAGATTACAATTAATGAACATTACGCTGCATAATTCCTCCGCTTTTATCCAGAAGAGCAGGTGACCTCAATGACTTTAATTCAGATACCAAACTTTATTAATCGAACCTGACAAATGAAAATGATGAAGCCTGAACCTGTTCGGAAACGGTGCTGAAATTCTCGTAGCGGATGTCATCAACTCCTGATTTTCCTGGATACTGCCCGAATTCCATTCTAAGGGAAGGACATATAGGCTGGTTTAAAAAAAAAAAGAGAAATGCTCGACCGTTTTCAACGGGAGAAATAGGGTCTAATAAATGTAGCAAGGATATTACATTGGATAGGCGATCGATTTTTGACAATTACAAGGTGTTGAAGTGCTTGCCTGTTTTTTTTTCCAACACCCCTGCCTAAGTCGTGGAATGCCCATTTTGAGGCGAATTAAAGGTGCTTAGAGGTGGATCATTTCACTCAGGTGAGCTGTGCTCGACCGTCTCAGAATTCAATGAATTGTTCAACTTTAACTTTTCGAGGGACAGTTGAATCCAGCTGATACCTTGACAGAGAGATTGTTGAGTCTAAGAGTTCTTTTTCACTTCTACAGGATGACGCTTTATCCCGATAGAGGGCGCTGCCGCTGATCAGGTTACCGAGGGTGATGAAAAGAAAGCTCCAGCGTTTTCAAAGGGGAGAAAGTACGACTCGCGTATTCAATAAAAAATAATTTAAATGGCATTTATTGCGGACTTCCCAGATGCAGCACTAATTCACTTTTGTGTGTTTGGCTTACTGAAGGAAGCCTTGGGACTTATAACAAATCGCACTTCTATTTGGTCTCTATAGAATGTGCACAGATGAGTGTGGGCGTTGGGATCGAATCGTGCAACAGAAGGACTTCCTATATTGGAATGTTTAAGTCAAACCTATAGTTGAAAACCATGGGAATCATATAGATCATAGTCGGGAAAGGAAAAACCTCGAAGGTATGCAATCTCTTAAAAATCAATGTTCATTAATTGGAAGCAACCAATCGTAAGCTATTGTTCATCATCAATATTCAATTTAATTAGAATACTGCTCATAGGCATGACTGAGCATAACACATGTGAAGAAACTTATTTGGAAAATGTCAGAATCTATGTTCATATAAAGACGGTAAAATTGCCGTGAAACATTTTTAGTGAAGCCAGTGATATTACGGTAAAATATTATAATTGGTACTTTTTCTGAATATCGTATATTTATGAATCGTGTACATATTTGCACAAATAGCAGTAGACGAGCAAACAAGGCAGTGCTTAAACGGACTTACCGTGGGAAGTTTCCTCCTCCTGAACCACCATTCTGCTCTTTGATAGGCGTGCGCTCACATTCCTCACCTCCGTCAATATTTATTGTATTCCATTCTGGAAAGTAACAACAATTCACTGAATGGTACGTTTTTCAGTTTTCGAGGGATTACAGTTGAGGCAGTAGGTGAACGATATTCCAGCTTGTAAACATCTGTTTTATACTCTCGTACTTATTCAGTTCACACTACTGCTTCGTAGCTTCTTTAGGCAAAGTTTTCATTCTCATGATATAATTGGGATTTATTGCATGACCAGGACCATCGCCTCCCTACTCATTTCTTTCCTTGGGTCTACCTGTAAACAATCTATTATTTTCAACGCCGCAAATTATGGATTTGATACAGTAGAGTTATGGTAATTTTTAAAGGTTTTTTTTTAATCATCATTTCTCATAAGAAACACGAATAAGAAACATAAGTTTCTTATTCTTTATGTTTCTCATAAGAAACATAAAGTAAACGAATTTGTAAATATTGGTGATAGCTGACCCTTTTACACGACGTGACAAGTTTCATAATCATGACAATGTTTTAAAATTATAATCCTAGGAATTAGATTAAATGATTCCGCAGCAGGTGATTATCACTGTCGTATTAAAGAAATGATTGCCAATTTGCCATGAACAAAGAATCAATACCCTATCGTAAAAATTTCATTCAAATCCATGTTCATATATGTCATTCCATGTTAGCTTGTCTAATGGAAAGGTGATATCGAATATTAGAAAATACTGCGAATGGATTCTAATGGAATAAATGGACAGCTTTCCAAATTCAACAACATTGCCTAGGTTCTCACGAAGTCACACTCGTGAGCAACTGCATCTAGAAATTCTTCGCCAAGGATTTTTAAAACTAAACTTGGTAGGTTTTAATTCAGCAAGTTTTTCAAGTCAGTGGATGACATATTTCAATACACAAGGACTTTAATGAGTTTTCAATCATATCATGAAGAAACTTGTATGAGGACGCTAATCATCGGTTGATACATGCTACAATACTCTCATGAAATCAGATGAAGCTTATACATGGTTGCGCAGTTTAACAATTTATCAGTAGGGAGCAGATTTTTACGCAAATGCATATTTTGTATGCAGTCTCATATGAACATGCAACCCGGATAGGATAATGTCTCATTAATAGAGGAAACCATTTGTGCCTTTTAATAATTGCATACAAATGGTGATTCTTTTCACGTTTTTCTCAGCATTTCCATATTTCTGTATATTTGTGCATTTTATGCAT